GGACAAGCTTAGCCAAGGATGAGGGAGCCCGAGGGCTGAGGCCCCTGCGCCGGCACGGAGGACCAGGATGGAGCTTCTGCTGCAGCTGCCGTTTGAGGCAGGGGTGGCATGCCTCCATCCGTCTCCCTCCCAAACTCCGCTTTCCAAACAGAACACATTCTTAAAGAGAAGCCACACGTTCAACAGCATACTCCACATAGTTCACGGGACACTTCACCCCCTTTTCTCCCCGCTCTCCCCGCCCCGCAGGTCCCTCCCACGAAAGCCCCCAGCCCTTAGAGCAGAAAATGGGCCCTCAGCACTCACAGAACTGCCCTCCTCCTGCAGAGCGCTGACACACGCAGGCTCTGCAGCTGAATTGCAAGGAAACTCGTCCTGCTTTCCGGGAGCCGGTAGATATAAGGGCCTTGATCTACAGGGTTTCCACCTGGGGAGCCCCATCCCTGGAAGGACCTTCAGTTAGCTCCACTAACCACACCCCCTACAGCTGACTCCCCCAGGCAAAGGCAATGATCCACCCTCCAATCCAGCTGACTGAGCAGGGGGGTTCTCCAGTCAGATGTCTTTGGAAGTTCCCACCTGTCCCCCTCGCCCTGACTGAGGTATCTGCGCTGAGCGGGAGAACCCGGAAAGCACCCATTTCAAACAGCAGCTCCGCCAAGCTTCAAGCCCTGGGGGACTGTGTCACGGGCAGCAGAAAGACCTGCACGGCGGCGTGGGATGCTGGGTCGCTTTGCTTGCCTCCCACACTGGCCCTGAAGGGGAACCACTCCGCGGGCACCTGAGGCCTACGCACATTCTCTCCAGGAAAAGGCTTTCCTTGCAACCTAAAAACAACCCCCCCAACACAGGGCTGGTGCTGTGGCACTGCAGGTACGCCCACCTCTTGCGATACCGGCATCCCTATTTAGGCACCAGTTCGAGTCCCAGCTGTTGTAATTTTCATCTGGCTGCCTGCTACTGCACTTGGGAAAGCAGCAGAGGATGGTCCAGGCACCTGAGTCCCGGGTACCCACACTGGAGACCCCAAACGAAGCACCTGGCTCCTGGCTTTGCCCAAACCCAGCCTCCTGTAGCCGTTGACAGATTGTCAGCAGGGGTGATCCCTGTCTCCTCTGCCTTTCAAATGAATGAATACATTTTTGTTTAATAAGGGGGGGAAAAAACGCATTGCAACGCATGCGTACAAGGGCCCTTGGAAAAGCTCATGGACGCACGCTATCTGGAAAAACACATGCATTTCAAAAACGTCCGTTTTTCAAAAACTCCTAAAATTTTATTTAAAACTTATTTATGTATTTGAAAGGTAAGCAGAGGGAGATCAGTGTTCCTTCCATTGGTTCACTCTCCAAGTGACTGCAATAGTCAGAGCTGCGCCGATCTGAAGCCAGGAGCCAGGAGCCTCCTCCGGGTCTCCCACGCGGGTGCAGGGTCCCCAGGCTTTGGGCCGTCCTCCACTGCTTTCCCAGGCCACAGGCAGGGAGCTGGGTGGGAAGTGGGGCAGCCGGGATTAGAACCAGAGCTTCAGTAAGGGATGCCAGCCCCACCAGTGGTGGCTTTACCTAACCACTGTATTTAGCACACCGTCCCTTCTGCCAATTTTTAAAAGATTTCTTGTGGGTCAAGGAAGATGCTCTTAGGGCTCAGTCCCTGGTCCTCGGGTTAGGGAACGCTGCTGTTTTTAAGAAGTCGCCGGGTTTCCACAGTGTCTTTGAGCACGGGTCTGCCTTCAAGGCTGCAATGAACGGGACCATTCTCCAGGTGGCGAACCTGAGACTGTCAGGCGGCCATTGGAAAGGCAGATATACAGAGAGGAGGAGACAAAGAGAAAAGATCTTTCATCCATTGATTTACTCCCTAAGTGGCCGCAAGAGCCAGAGCTGAGCTGATCCGAAGCCAGGAGCCTCTTCCGGGTCTCCCACACGGGTGCAGGTCCCAAGACTTTGGGACATCAACTGCTTTCCCAGGCCACAGGCAGGGAGCTGGATGGGAAGCGGGGCTGCCAGGATATGAACTGGTGCCCATATAGGATCTCTGTGTGTGCAAAGTGAGAACTTAGCCACTGTGCCGGGCCCGAATCTGGCTTTTTTAACTCCATAGTGTGCATGCATCTTCCCACAGTTGCCACTAGAATAAGTCACAACCAGGCCAATTTCACGCTCCCCCCTTTTTTGTCAGATGTAACAATTCCTTCACAAACACTCAGGGAGAGTGGACACTGGCTGTCCAGATTTGGGGGGAACTGGGGGTTTCCGAAACATTGTTTAGGGATGGATATTCAGCCCAGCAGCTGTGAGGACAGACGCACATCGGCTGCAACAGCTGTCAAAGGGGCAGGCCTCGCTGAAGCCAAGAGCCACGAGGCTTCCGACAGGGGCAGCAGGTCCCAGTCACCTCCTGCCCACTGCAGCGTGCTCCGGGACTTGAACCTGGGCCCTGCAAGCAAGGCCCTCGTGGCCGCTTTGGGACACCAGCGAATCCTTGTTTTCTTTGCAGCACTTTCCCATCCGCAGGGTTAGCATTCACCGTTTCATGAGCACCTATGTGTGTGGGCGTCGCAGGCGAGCCGGAGGTGCAGGAGTTTTGGGACGGACTGTCTCGGAGCTGGAGAGCTACGGATGCATGGGGCAGGTCTGTCTCCGAGGTGCTGGCATCTTCATGCAGTGAGACCGGTACGCTGACGCAGAGAAGAGAGCGGGCAAGGGGCTGACGGGAGGGGAGAGGTCAGGGACGGCCTGGGAGGGCGAGGCCTTGGAGCAGGGGCCCGGGGAGGCAGGTGTAAGAAGCAGGGGGTACTGGGGTCGTGTTCTCCTGGGCTTTGCCTCCCTTCCCCTACACAACGCCCTGTCCTCACCCTCAGTCTCAGCGACAGCTCAGCGTCTCTAGCAGAAGTCATCTGGAAACCCTGAGAGGGAAATTCCAACAGGGACCGCAGGCCAGGAGGCTTGGCACTGCTGGACCCAGAAGCCACCGTCCACACCCAGGCCTCGGAGTGAGCCCCGAGGCACTGTCTAGTACCGACACCCCATGATGGAAGTACCAATTCAAGTCCCGGCTGCCCCACTTCCCGCCCAGCTCCCTGCCTGTGGCCTGGGAAAGCAGTGGACGGCCCGCAGCCTGGGGACCCTGCACCCGTGTGGGAAACCCGGAGAGGCTCCTGGCTCCTGGCTTTGCATTGGCCCAGCTCTGGCTGTTGTGGTCACTTGGGGAGTGAATCATTGGACAGAAGAACTTGCTCTCTGTCTCTCCTCCTCTCTGTTTACCTGACTTTGTAATAAAAATAATTAAATCTTAAAAAAAAAAATGCCCATGTGGTCAAGGCAAGGAATTCAGCCACTAGGCTATTGTGCTGGGCAAAAAATAAATAAATCTTAAAAAAAAAAAAAGATTTCTTCACCCCTTTCTTTTTTATTTTATTTTTATTTATTTATTTTATTTTTATTGGAAAGGCGGATATACAGAGAGGAGGGACAGAGAGGAAGATCTTCCGTCCGATGATTCACTCCCCAACTGAGCGCAACGGCCGATGCTATGCCGATCCGCAGCCAGGAGCCTCTTCCGGGTCTCCCATGCGGGTGCAGAGTCCCAAAGCTTTGGGCCGTCCTCGACTGCTTTCCCAGGCCACAGACAGGGAGCTGGAAGGGAAGCGGGGCAGCTGGGATTAGAACCGGCGCCCATATGGGATCCCAGGCGTGCAAGGCAAGGACCTTAACCACTGTGCCACCGCGCTGGGCCCTCCACCCCTTTCTAAGTGTAACTCTGCCTTTCAAATCAATACAATGCAACAGCCAGTTCCAGGCCTGTTTTCACAGTTGCTGCTGGGCCCCTGCCTTTGGAGGAAAGGCAGCGCCCTGATCCAGGGTGAACCTGGAGCCCTCCCTGTCGCCACCGCCAAGAAGCTTGAAGGGCCTCTGTCTCCCCCTGCCCCCTGCGAGATGCCAGGGCCCTGCAAGACAAGGACCCAGCGGCTTATATGGAAATCTAGGTATGCAGGTGTTGCCCTGGCTAGGGCTGTGTGACCATGAGCAGCTTCCTAACCTCTCCGAACCAACAGCTCCATCGAGAGTGTTCGTTTATTTAAAAGGCAGGGTGGAGACTGATGAGCCAGGAGCTGGCACTGTGTCCGGGTCTCCCCCGTGGGAGACTTCCTCTATGCCCACCCGTCACCGGGAGGGCGCGGGGCGTGGTGGGGCCCCAGGAGCCCACACAAAGGGCAGCCTCGACCTGAGGAAGACAGGCAGTTTATTGGCCTGAGCGCCCTGGGCTCAGGGCATACATGACAGGGGGAGAGGGCAGTCTGCGGGAAGGGTCCCCCCAGCACACCCCCCGATTGGCTCCTGGCCCCGGAGTCCTGCACACGCTGCAGCCTCTGTGCCCAGCAGGCTTCGCCGAGGGGCCGGGCAGAGCAGCACCCCTCGCCCTTGGGTAGCCGTCAGGGCAGGGACGTGGAACGGGGCTGGGGGGACAGCACAGCGTCCATGCTGCAGGTTGGGGCTGGGGGGCGCAGGTGGCAGGCAGACACCACAGACATCACACACTTGGTTTTTCTTTTTTTTGTTTTTAAAAGATTTATTTATTTCTATTACAAAATCAGATATATAGAGAGGAGGAGAGATAGAAAGGGTCTTTGGTCGAATCAGTTAATCATTCCCCAAGTGAGCACAACGGCTGGAGCTGCGCCGATCCGCAGCCAGGAGCCAGGAGCTTCTTCCGGGTCGCCCACGCGGGTGCAGGGTCCCAAGGCTCTGGGCCGTCCTCCACTGCTTTCCCAGGCCACAGTCAGGGAACTAAATGAGAAGCAGAGCTGCCGGGATTAGAACCGGCGCCCTATGGGATCCCGGCGCGTTCAAGGCGAGGACTTTAGCCGCCAGGCCGCCGGGTCTGGATGTCATACTTGCACACACACACACACACACACACACACACACACACACACACGAACACACAGACACACATAAATATCGATTCGTACCACTAAGCCCCTCCCACCCTCCCACAGCAGGTCTGCAGGTCCTTCTGCTGGGGCAGGGGAGGAGCCGGTGTCCCCAGGAGCCATCCCTAGCCACCCTGCCCTCTTACAAGGAGGCCCAGCTGCGGCTCAGGGCTGCCACCCTGTCTTGGGTGATCTGTACCTGGGTGGCGGTGCGGGTCCCCTAGAAACCCCTCCCCCAGGTACTTCTTAAGTTGCACTGTTCCCCACCCACAGGCCCCTGCAAACCGGTTTTTCCAGGCCTGTGATTCCTCAGCGTCCCCAGGTAGATAGTGCAAATGAACCCATGAGGTTGGAAAATGACAGGGGGAGAACGGGGCGGGCCCTGTCCAGGTACCTTCCCCTCACCATCTCCCGCCCCTCCGCCATATAGCTAGCGGCTTCCTTCCCAGACATCAGAAAGAGGGGGACAGGGAACAATGGCAGGTGGTAGGATTTGGGGAAGCTGTGGATTCAGGGGGGCCTGAGACAGGCAGGATGGTCAGGACCCTCACAAATCCTGGAGGGACAGCAAATCAGAGGCCCAAGGTTGCCTTGGGGGACGGTGGCAGGAGACAGCCAGCACTGAAATGCGGTGGGCTACGGCAGGGTGGCCAGGACATGCGACGGCCTCCATCCACGCTTCCGCCCTCCGTGGCCACCTGCCGTCACCTTCGCCCTTTGCAGGAACTCCAGCGTGGGATGGAGGGGGCCGCGGGTGCGGCAGCCCCTCAGACCACCGTGTTGCTCTCTAAGTACGTGGGAGATGTGGGCATGTGCACGCCCCTCTCCAGCGAGCTGGAGCTTCGCAGGGGCAGGAGGTGGTGGTCCCCTGGGGTCCCGCTCCGCCGGCCCGGCACCCTGGCCGCCTGGCGCCAGCACTGCAGCGGCCGCAGCACCTCCCGCCGCAGGTCCCGGCTGCGCCATGTGTAGATGACGGGGTTGAGCAGCGAGTTGAGGGTGGCGAAGGCGAAAAAGTAGTGAGCTTTGTAGAGGATGGGGCAGGCCCGGACCGGACAGGCGTAGTCCAGCAGGAGGATGCTGAAGGCGGGTAGCCAGCAGACGATAAAGACGCCAAGCACGATGGTCACCGTTTTGAGGAGCGCCAGCGTCTGCGGGCCGGCCACGTCGGCGTGGCTGGAGCGGACCACGCAATAGATGCGTACGTACAGCACCACGATGGCCAGCAGGATGACCGAGAAGATGGTCACCACGCCCAGGACGTAGGCCTTGGCGTAGAGCGGCAGGACGGTGGAGCAGGCGTCCAGCTGGCCCAGGCAGTTCCAGCCGAGGATGGGCAGGCCGCCCAACACCAGCGAGATGACCCACGAAGCCCCGATGAGCAGCAGCATGCGGCAGCTCTTGTCGCTGCCGTACAACTTGACCTTGGCCAGGGCCACCTGCCGCTCGATGGCGATGGCCAGCAGGCTAAAGACGGAAGCCGAGAGCGTGATGAAGGCAGAGCCCTCGCGGGCGAACCACTGCACGGGCGTGAGGCTCAGCGTGACGGGGCCCGACAGCAAGGTGTTGGCCACGAAGGCCACGCCGGCCAGCAGGTCGGAGGCCGCCAGGTTGCCCAAGAAGAGGTACATGGCCGAGTGGAACTTGCTGTTGCGGGCCACGGCCACGAGCACCAGCAGGTTCTCCAGCACGATGGCACAGCAGAGCAGGATGATGAAAGCCGAGGCCACCTGGCGGGAGGGCGTCTCCTGCATGTCCAGCGTCTCCTTGGTGTAATTGTAGTGCTCCAGGACCTTGTCAGGGTTCAGGTACTCCGAGTACAGGTTGCCCATGGTGGGGCTTAGCGGCCGGCCTGGGCCATGGAGGCTGTCACTGCCTGGGACACAGACACAGACAGGTCAGAGCTCCCGCCCCAGGCAGGGGCGGCTCAAGTCACAGCACCCCTGCCTTCCGGGTCCCCCAAACCCCCCCCCCCCCCCCCGTCCCAAGACAGCCAGGACGGGGCAGACCTGAGGTAGATGCCCTCATAGTCCCCTTTCCCCCGCCCAGCAAGTGCTGAGTGGGTTCTATGGCACTGGGGGCAGGGGGCTGGCTGTCTTCTCTCTCCCTGGCCCTCAGCAGTCAGCCTTGGACCTCAGGGTTCCCCCGGGGTCAGCGAGATTCCTGCCACTGTGGCTAGCACCCCATCCACTTGCTCGTTACTGCCCCTGCCTGGGCCCTGGGGCCGAGTCGGAGCCCGCGGGCCACGGGCACCTGCCAAGGTCTCGGGGAAAGTCGCTGGGGCAGGCGGCCCTGAGATGCCAGCCTGCCATGGGTCATCCTCATCTTCCAGCTTGGGGATGACCCTGGAGGCCAGGCGAGCAAGCGGCCCGAGGGAGGCTCCCATCTGACCGGAAAACCCCTTTCAAGCCATGAGTCGACTCAGCACACGTCTCCCCCCAGCACGGGCTCTCCTCTTCCCAGTTGGTGGGGTGCCCCCACCCAGACTCTGAGTCCCCAACCTCGCCAGTTCCCATGAGCACCCACTCAGCTGTGGGAGGGGGTGGAGGACATGGAGTCCCAGGGTGCAGGGGAGCCGGCGGGGTGTTGGCGCCCCTCCTCAGCAGGATGAGCTCCAGATGTGCGGCCCCTGGAACAGAGTGGAGTCCTCAACTTCCAAGTCACATCGGGTGGGGGCAGAGGGACTGGGAGGATGGGGGCAGCCACTGCTGCAGGCCCGTGAACTGCGCAGAGTCCCTCGGGGAGGGGTGGGGGCGGCAAGGGACACGGATTGACTCCCACGAACGTGACCGAGTTAATGCCCCCACCGAGCACCTCCAGGGGACATTGGACCACGCCACTGGGGAGGGAGCCGCGGTGGGGGTGGAGTGGGGCCTGGGAGGACCACGTGTGCGCGCCAGAGGCGCCTTGCAGCAGAGGCTGGTTAGGCAGGTTCCTCCAGGGGGTGATGGGGGGCTTCCAGCCCTCGGAGCGGGATGAGCATGGTGTCCTGGCTGCAGGCCTGAGGGAGACAGCTGCTCCCCCACGCCACCCCCGATGGCGCAGGGACATCCGTCCTACTTTGGGAACAGAGAAGCGCTTGTTGGGCCTCCTCGGCCCCGCCCTGATAGCTAACACAGAGGGCCCCTTGTTTCCCCAGCCGGACAAGGACCCAGCGCTGCCCCATGCCCTCTGTCCGCCCGTCCGCCCGTCCGCCCGCCCGCTGCAGCAGCCACCTGTCCTCGGGGCTGGCTTGGGCAGCACCCGTCGGGCCGGAAACGGCCTGCACCTTGACTGGCCCAGTTTTCAACCCCAGGGCCACCGAGCCACTTGCCCATTGGCCTGTGAGGTTTGCATCCTCTGCCTCTCATTGGCCCGGTGGGGGCAAGGGGGCGGGCTTGAGTGAAGGCCAGGAGGAGGTTTCACTTATTTCCTTAGGGAACAAGTTAGGGCTGTGTGGGTGTCCCCAGGGAGGGTGGCAGGAGTCTGAACTGCTGCCCTGGCCGCTGGGTCACCTCCAGCGGACGCCCCCAGACTGTCCCCACCCCGACCCATGGCCCTCCTGGGGTTCCTAACTGAGGGTCCAAGTCCCATTCTAGGCCTGGGAGGCTCACTGGGGGTGGGCCAGAAGCCGGGATGAGTCACCCCCAGCTGGCCCCTCCACCCTGCGGGGCTACCCCTCCCCAGCCTTCCTTCAGCGGTTAAGATGAAATGCCATTTCCTGGAGCAATTCTGGCACCCCCTTGCCCTCCAAAGCTCTGATACCCCTGTTGCCACTAGGGTTGGTGGGGGTTGTGGCACTCCCCCCCCTCTGCAGGGAAGGGCTGCTTCTCAGTGAGATGGGAGGGAAAGGAGCCCAGCCCTACGCCCGCCTCGCCACCTCCCTACCTCCCAACTTTGCTAAGGGAAGGGTCCCAGGCTGCCCAGAGAGGGGAAACAGGAGGGGGTTGGCGGGAGAGCCTGCATGGCCGGCCTCCTAGGGACCCCCAGAATCAGGCCCGCCTTCCACCCCTCCTTCACTTGTGCTCCCAGCCACTCATGAGTCACCCTTTGGGGAGGAGGGGGGTGTCCAGGCCCCAGCAGGGCAAGTGATGGGGTGCTGGGGATGGGAGAGTGGGCGTGCAGGGGCAGTTCCCAGACACACAGCTGTGTGGGCAGAGATTAGGTGAGGGGAAAAGCTGGAGGAAGCCCCTGCCCGCTCCCTCAGTTCCAAAATGACAGACGCTGTGGTGACACTTCCTGCTGGTCCCCCAGATACCCCACTCCTCTCCCCCTCTTGTTGGGCTTCTGGCTTCCCTCTCTGCTGGCCAGGCAGACCAGGCGGTGCTCCCACGGGGCACGGTTCCTCCGTGGCTCCCTACCCCTGCTCCCCCCAGGCCCGCCCAGCCGTGGTCCTCCAGGGACACTCCCCGGCCTCCCTGCCTCGCGCAATGCCTTCCCCCATCCCCACCTGGCAGCCTCAGCCATCTGATACACTCATTCTTTCCCCCCAGTTTCCATCCACCAAAGTTTCACGTAAAGGCCGCTGGAGCGCACACCGGGCTCTCTGTACCATCTCCACAGCCCAATCGGAAATCATGAAACTTTTTTTGGGGGGGGGGGTGCTTCCCGTCTAGCGGCGGCGGCGACCCACACGTCTCTCCTTCGCAGCCTCCTACGGGGATGACAGGGGGTGTGTGCGAGCACAGGAATGAATCGAAAAAGGAAGGGACCCAGAAGACTGGCCGCGCGGCCTGCGGACAGCCCTGGCGGGAGCGCAGAGAAGCTGCCGGTCTCCACGGAGACGACGGCGGGGCCCGCCCCTCGCCCTGCGCGCCGCTCTCTCGGCCTCCTTATCTGGCCGAGGAATGCGCGGTATCCACACTCGCTCGCGCTGGGGCCGCGCCTCCTCCTCGCGCCTCCTCCTCGCGCCACACGCGCGCGCGGGACCCGCACACCTCCAACTTGGTGGGGTTGGTTTGGAAAGAAACTCCTCGGGATCCCGCAAGAGGGCCTGATTCGCGCTTTCCCGGGAAGACTTGGGGAGGAGGGAGATGGGGCGATCCCGGGCGGTGCCCGAGGGCCTCTCCGGCGTGGCGTGGCGTGGCGTGGCGTGGCGTGGCACGGCGCCGGGGACCTGTGGGGTCGGTGCGCAGCGCCCAAGCGTCTGCCAAGGAGTGGGAGGGGGTGGAAATCCCCGGGTGAGTCACCCCGTGCCTGAGAAGGGGGCGAGGGGGCCACGCGGGGACCTGCTGCGCAGCGCGCACCTTTTATCCAAGCACCCATCCCCGGGCCCGACCAGGACAACGGGCAGGCGCCCGAAGCCAGAGACAATCTCTTCCCTTCCAGAAACAAAGCCACGCCCCCCCTCAAGGGGGAGGGAGGAGGAGACTCGAGGAGAGGCACAGCGCGGGGAAACTGAGTCACAAAGTCCAGCCGTCGCCGGCGGGCGAGCTGCTGTCCTGCCTCGGGAGGTGTGTGCGTTCGCCCCTTAGGCTGCAGGCTCCACCGCGTGCTGCACTCGCTCCGGCTCAGCCCCGGACAGCCTGGAGGGGTGTCTGCCCATCTCCCCTCCAAAACCCAGTCCGCCCCCAGCTCTCCAAGCCACCCACCCCAAGCCCGGCAACACCGTCCAGCCTCCCCAAGTCTGCAGCCCACAGCGCTCCGAAGATTCCGCCCTCTCGGCGCCAACTTCCTGCCCCCGGAGAAAGGCGGGGAGCGCAGGGTTGTGGGTTCGCGGCCGGTCAGCGGGAAGCGCCCGGAGTCGTGGCGAGGGCGCACGGAGACCGGCCCGTCCGTGCAGCGGCGACACGCGCGGCGCCTGCGCGCCCAGGTCCCTCTCCCCGCCACCACCACCCACCACCCCCAGCCCGGCCTCCCGGCTCCGATCCGCGACCTCGGCGCACCGGGGCACGCCCTTTCGGCCAGGCCCCCTGCACCCTGCGCGCTCACCTGGCGAGGCCTTGGCATCTGCGTCGCCCCTCCGCCCCGGGGCGGCGTGTCTGGGGCTGCGGCTGCCGGCCGGGCTCGGCGGCGTCCCCGGGGCTCGGGAAGAGCCGCTGCCTCGGCCCCCTGCTCGCTCCGCCCACCTCTCCTCCCCTTTCCGGCGCGGCTGCAATGAATTCCAGATGTGGCCGGCCGGGCCCGGGGCGCGCGCGCACGCACGCGGGGGGCGGGGGCGGTGCGCGGGAGTCTCTTTGTCCGCACCGACCCCCCCCAGCCCGCACGTCTTCCAGCCCCCACCCGTGAGAACCGGCCGGCGCGTGACGTCATGCGGCCCTGTGTCGTCACGGTACCCCTCAACCTCACCAGGGCTTCAGTTGGGCACCTGGCCCTGACCCCACGGCCCAAGCGTTGGGGCTGGAAGAGGGGGACACCCCAAGCCTCCAGTACCCCTTTCTTCACTCCCGGGAGCCATGGACCCACCACCTGCTCAAAGTGTTGCGGAAGGTGCCTGCCCTGCCCCCAAGACAGGATTGGCCCTGTGCTTTGGAGACACCCCAATGTCAGGTGCCTGGGAGGGTTTCACGGGATACCCCAACTTTGCACACAGGTCGACCCAGCCTTTTTCCCTCATTCTTCTTCTGATGGTGTGTCACAGAGTCAGCTTCTACGTGTATATCATGGCTAAGGCTGCTGCAACCAGACCCTGGAAAATCCTCTTTAAAATAAATGGATCCCATGGGGCCTGGCGGCGTGGCCTAGCAGCTGAAGTCTTCGCCTTGAACGTGCCAGCATCCCATTGGGCGCCGGTTCTAATCCCGACAGCTCCACTTCCCATCCAGCTCCCTGCCTGTGACCTGGGAAAGCAGTGGAGGACAGCCCAAAGCCTTGGGACCCTGCACCCACATGGGAGACCAGGAAGAGGCTCCTGGCTCCTGGCTTCGGATCAGCTCAGCTCCAGCTATTGTGGCCACTTGGGGAGTGAATCAGCAGATGGAATATCTTTCTCTCTGTCTCTCCTTCTCTCTATATACCTGATTTTCCAATAAAAATAAATAAAACTTTTAAAATAAAAGATGAAACAGCCTGCCATGTGCCATGCAATGTTCCGGAGGCCGGAGGTGTCTCGGCCTGTCTCACCTCCCTGGCCCCGGGAGTGTGATTCTGTGCGCCCATCAGATCACCCAGCTCATGGCAGGCAGGAGACACGCGTGGGTTTCTGGGGAGAAGAGTGAGAGGGGAGATGAGTTGGGAAGAAGGCCTCTCTCAGTCTGTCATCATTTGATACTTTTTAATTTTTACAACACATATGTAATTTTTCTATTCTCACAAGAAATTAAACAAGGCTATAGAGGCTGGTGTGATGGTACAGCGGGCTAATCCTCAGCCTGTGGTGCTGGCATCTCATGTGGTCACAAGTTGGAGTCCCAGCTGTTCCAGTTTCTTTCTAGTTGCTCCAATGTTGATGCAGCTCCCTGCTAACGCACCTGAGAAGCCAGTGGAAGTGCTTGGGCCCCCAAACTCACAAGGGAGCCCCGGAAGAAGCTCCTGGCTCCTGGCTTTGCTTGGCTCAGATTCAGCTCTTATAGCCATATGGGAAATGGACCAGTGGATGAAAAGGACCATTCTGTTTCCTTTTCTCTGTAAATCTACCTTTCCAACATAAATAAATCTCTTTTTTTGGAAAGTCAGATATACAGAGAGGAGAGTGGACACAATGACTGGAGCTGAGCTCATCCGAAGCCAGGAGCCAGGAGCCTCTCCCGGGTCTCCCACGCGGGTGCAGGGTCCCAAGGCTTTGGGCCGTCCTCCACTGCTTTCCCAGGACACAGGCAGGGAGCCGGGTGGGAAGTGGAGCTGTCGGGATTAAAACTGACACCCATATAGGATCCCGGTGCATTCAAGGCTGACATTGTAATAAAAATAAATAAATCTTTAAAAAAAAAAAACCCACAAAGCCAAGTTTAGGAATGTGCGTGGCTTGCAGGTGTATCTGAGGATGTAACTATGTAAATACGTGGCCTTTGCCGGCGGACTCCCCGGCCACCTCCAGCTGCAGTGTGACTCACTGGTCACAGCAGCCGCCCTCAGACAGGGGAAGTGGGCCACAGGGAAAGTAGGCCCCTTCTCACTGCGTCCCCTGGGGAATTTTTCACTTGTATTTTCAATTCAAAAACAAAAACATATGAAGCGATGAAAAATAAGATGTCTCTAGGGCAGGTGTTGGCGGCACAGGTGCTGAGGGCTGGTCACGTCGTCTGATGACACCACGCCCCATTCCAGCTCCCAGCTCATGGCCACACCCTGGGAGGCAGCAGGGACAGTCCAGGGCTGGGGTCCCAGGCACCAGTGGGGGACACCTGGCTGGATTCCTGGCTTCAGCCCCGCCCAACCCTGGCTTGCAGCGCATTTGAAGGAGTGGATGGACCAGTGGATGGAAGATTTCCCCGCTCCACGTGTCTTCTTGCTATATCTTTCAAATGAAAAGTTTTTTTAAAAAATATTTATTTTTCATTTTTTATTGAAAAGTCAGATATACAGAGAGGAGGAGAGACAGAGAGGAAGATCTTCCGTCTGATGGTTCACTCCCCAAGTGGTAGCAATGGCCAGAGCTGAGCCAATCCACAGCCAGGAGCCTCTCCCGGGTCTCCCACGCGGGTGCAGGGTCCCAAGGCTGTGGGCCGTCCTCCACTGCTTTCCCAGGCCACAGGCAGGGAGCTGGGTGGAAGTGAGGCAGTTAGGATTAGAACTGGAGCACATATGGGATGCTGGAATGCGCAAGGCGAGGACTTTAGCCACTAGGCTACCATGTTTGGCTCAAAAATGAACAAATTTAAAAAATTTTTTTTTTTTTTTTAAAAAGGAGAGATCTCCCATCCACTGGTTCACTCCCTGAATAGCTACAATGGCCACAGTGGATGGGTTTGAAGCCGGGACCTTCACACAAATAAATATATGAGTCTTAAGACTGGCTCGGCTCCAGCTGTTGTGCACCTGGGGAGTGAATCAGCAGACACAAGATCTTCTCTCTGTCTCCTCTCTGTGGATCTGACTTTCCAATTTAAATAAATAAATAAATGTTTTTTTTAAAATAAATGCTACAAATTGGCACAGCACACACAGGCACATGACATATATACTAGAAATCTTCAAAAAGTTCATGGGAAATTCAGAATATGAAAAAAAAAAAGTGCACATGGACTTCAAAAACACTTTTTTGTACCAAAATAAACAGGATTCCATTTTCCAGTCTCCTTGCGGAAGTCCCGTTGGACAGCGCGTCTGGGCCCGGCCCTCGGGCTCCCCCTCGGTTGCTGCCATCCAAAGCTGCGTGTCTGATGCAGAAGGCCAGGAAACGTGGGGGTGTGGGGGCTTTTCCTGAGAAGTGAAGGGGGCTCAGAGAGCAAGCACTCATTCGACACTGTCCCTTGTTGCCCCCGAGTTTGCCCTCTCTGTGTCCTTGGTGTCAGGTTCAAGTTCGGGGCCAAGCTGGCTTGCATAGACCCTCCTGCAGTGATGAGGTGTGGGTTGCCAGGACAACGTGCAGAAAGCGGGGAGGCACAGAGCAGCCTGGGTCCTCGGCTCACACGGGCAGGCAAGCTAGCTATCGGAGCGGAAATCTCAGCTCTTTGTGGGGACCTGAAGGCTGGGGAGGAAGTGCCCCCCTCCTCTCAGCCTGGGCTGGCTCAGCAATTTGCCATCTCCCCAGGGACCTGGGAAGGGGGGCCATGTCAAGGCCACAGACGTATCCGGCCGTCTGCAGGGTGGGGGTGTGTGTCCTGAGACGGTCAGACAAAGGTGATATGCCCAGAGACTGCAGGGCACCCAGTGACCCTCTGGCTTCTGAGGCCACTGCGAGGTCTCTGCCGGGTCGTGTGGAAGGGACAAGGGGCTTGGCGCAGCCTCCCAGTCCAGGGGGTGGAGGGCAGGGTGGGGTGGTGGTGGAGGAGGCAGGCGCCTCCCGGGTGAGGTGCGACAGGAAGGAAACAGGCCCTTGGCTGGGAGAGCTTCCAGGCAGGGCCAAGAGAGGAGAAGGAAGAAGCTCAGCACGTCACGAGACACCGCCCTCCTCGGAGCCCACGGAGGCTGCCGCTGCCGGCACCGTTGCCGTGTTCCATTTAGGCAAGGGCAGATGGACGGATGGACACACAAAGTTAGCTCTCCCCGGCTGGCCCTCCTTCCCAACACACACACACACACACACCATCACCCCCAAGCTCCTGCAACAGCTGGGGCTGGCCAAGGCAGAGCTGGGAGCATGGAACTCCATCTGGGTCCCCCGGGCCCCTGAGCTCTGTTGCCTGCTGCACCCACAGGGCGAGCCTTAGCAGGGAGGCCAGGACTCGAGCCCCCGCACTGGGATGGACCATGCTGCTGTCCCACCCAGGCGGCCGCAGCCTTAGGCTGGACCACCTGCCAACCAGACCCCTTTATCTCATTTTGACCAATTGATTTGTAAGTGATGACATGGTTGGTTTTCTTTCACTCCAAAGATTATTTAATTATTTAGTTACTTTTATTTATTTGAAAGGCATAGCAACAAAGAAGAAAAAAAAAAGAGAATGCTGCCCTCGGCTGATTCACTCTCCAAATAGCTCAAACAGTCAACTTGAGGCCAGGCCAAAAGCCAGGAGCTCCATCTGGGTCTCCCATGTGGGTGGCAGGGGCCCCAGCCCTTGGATCATTGATCTGTTGCTTTGCCAAAATGAATCCGAGGCAGAGGGAGCTGGGACCCCGAAGCCGGACTCGGATAGAGGGGGGATGTCGATCTACTGGAAGCAGCAGCTGTGATCCTCTGGTCTCCAGGCCAGGACACCTACGCTGTCCCCATTTTACAGATGAGGAAAATCGAGGCACGGGATGGAGGGACCCAGGCGTGGTAGGAATGTAGCTCTGGCTGCCTGGTTCTGCTCCCCACCGCACAGCCCGGGTTCTCTGGCCTGTGTCGCACCCTTGGCTCCTGAACTGTGGTGACATTCCCTGTCCTTGTCCCAGTGGGGTTATCCGGGAAGGACACAGTCCAGGCTGGCAGTGGTGGACAGGGGTCTGTGCCACGACGTCCTCCACCCTCGGGGTGGAGGCAGCCCT